GGTAGTTTACTTAATAGCTTCTATCACCAGTCTGTGTGTGTGTGTGTGTTTATTTATATATATATATATATATATATAGTGCAAGCATCTAAAGGACCAAACTGTAGAAGCAAGTTTAAAATTCACTTTGTTTCAGTCCCCTTCAAGTTATTAGTTTTTGATATGCTTATTGTGTGAAAGGTAATAAGAGCATATCTCCAGTTGAAACATATATATGCAGCACTAATATGTCCATTCTTTTCCAGGTGGGGACCAAATGTTCAGCATGTCTCGTGTATAAAGAAGACTTTGAAAACACAGGGTGTGTCACTAGAACATGCACCATTGGTATGTTTACACACACACACAAGTAGTATATAACAAATCTCTCAATTCAGTATCAGTCCGCTGTATTTGTTTAATGGAACTTTCTTTATGTAGAATTTGTTTCTTAATATTACAAAACACATTGTAACATAGGTATTTTTGTATTGGTTTGAAAGTTATAATTTCATTGTTTCTTTTAAATCAGATTGTTACAACAATTCTCATTAGTACTGAGCAAGAACATTGAATTAGTGAAATGTAAATCAATTTAACCATTGCCAGTAACTGTTTAACTTTTATGCTGCTGAGTTATGTTTTTTTTTTTTGTTTTATTTTATTCAATGTAGTGAACATGGAAGCAGTAATTACCATGAATTAGTAAAGGCATGATGTTTTGTGAAAGCACTCAAGGCAAATTGTAAATGTTGAATATAATCTAATTTTCACCATAATTAGAAGAACAGTTTTCCACTAATTCTGTATTTAGTACTTAGTTCCTAATAATTTTATTTATAGTTGACAATTAGATTCTTGTTTTTTGTGCTCAAGGAGTCAAATGTTCTTAAAGTGATGATGTAAACTTTTATTTTTTTGTGTTTATTTTGAAGGTTGTACAGACTTAGTTTTAAATAAATTATAGAATGTATCTCAAGTGACTTCTTCATATTTTGAATTACACATGATGGACAACCATGAAGTAGTTATTTATCTTGTGTGATTCAAAATATTATTAAAATTTTGTGTACTAGTTAAACAAGAGAATTTTAAAATATGTACAATTGTGGTTTAGATATATTTTGTATCTATATTCATTATCTTTGTTATATTTTTTTGTTTAGTTATTATACACATATTTTTTTACTATAATGAAAATTAGTTAAATATATTGTACTACTTCGTTTAATGAGAAACCTTAAGAAAAATGTTCTTCTGAATTTGAAGATAGGGGGAGTGGAATTAGATCTCTCAAAGCTTTACAATACTGTGCAACACTTTGGAGGATTGAAACAGGTCATAGAAAAGAAGAAGTGGCAGAGGGTGGCAGATGCTATGCATATTCCTAAAGCAGTAGGTTTTATAAACCACTGTCTAGTGGTTACTGATATATTATGTATTTATTAACAGTTATTGTCATGTAATTTCACATTAATGTTAGCAAGGAACAGTTACTTTGTTTCTTAGTTATTTGCTGTAATTTTTTGTAGTCTTTCAAATTTTGTAGTGCATACTAGAGGGATTTACATATTTTGATAAAATGTTTAGAAAAAAACTACCTATACACCCCAGATACAAATAATTTTTTTTATATATTTTAAACAACTTTTTGCTTTTGTGGCTTCCTCAAGGTTAATATACACAACTGTTTGATATTAGAATAGTCGTTAAATTATAAAACTGCTTGTAATATTTTTTTTGTAGTCTGCTGTAACATGTGTCTGCCAATATATAAATTATTATAATTATTTCATTATTATTCTTATATTATAGTATAGTTAGAACTATATAGCTATACTAACATATGACATATATAACTATGTTCTCATAAAATAATTATATATGACATATGCTATACAGCTGTATTGTTAGTGTTATAACTATACTATAATATTAGAACAAGAATGAAATAATTATAATAATTTATATATTGTTAGACACACATTACAGCAGACTCGAGAAATAGAACACTACAAGTAGTTTTATAATTTAATGACTATTCTAATATCAAACGTTATTACGTATATTAACCCTGTCGTGACGGGTCACATATCAAAGGCCATGTTATTGCATTTGTTGACTGTCATTCAAAATTTTTTTGAACTACTTTTTTATGAATTTATGCCAATAAGTTTGGTATCAAACTGTAGATTGTAATTCAAATGTTAGTATTATGCATTAGTTAATTTCTTAATTTAAAAGTAAATATTAAAAAAAAACCCAGCTAAACATCAATTTTTTTAGTGTCACGTGGTATGTTGAATGCAGCACTGGTTCAAATTAAATATTTGTGATGTCAAAACACAAAGACTATAGTTTTGTATGAATTAGGAACTCAAACTATGAATATTGACAAGATAGAATATTAATAAGAACCTCTTATCTTTTTTATTTGCCTCTTTCTATTTTTGGAAACTGTTCATTACATACACTTACTTACTTCTACTTGTGAAATCTGAATAACCAATTGAAATCTCAGAATGCCCCCTTAGTGATTTTCTTGGCCATTTTGACATGTTATTATGTTAATCTCATTCTTTTCACACAAGATTTCAAGGGGATAAGGTAAGTCTTTAGTGAGCTTGAAATTTCATATTTTTTAGACCAAAATACAGATTAGTTACTACGCTTGATAAATTGTAGTGGAATTCTATGGTTATCGATATAGTAATTTATATATTTTTTTTTTTTTGGTATTTAAAATGTATATATATATAGAAAACCTATAATAATTTTTTTTTCACATCCTCCATGTGGGATATTTCATAAGGCTTAGCATTCTATGACAAGCAGCAAACGAGTACAAAAGTTGTAACTAGAAGAGACAGTTGTTTGCTTTTCTTCTTTATTTACTGTTCTATGTTTTAAGTAAAATAAGTTTAAGAACTTATTTGTAAATAGTAATAATCTGTATACATACAAATGTATAATATAATATTTTACAAAATACTAGTCCACTAAAACACAGCCAGACAGGTCATTTTGTAAAGGCTAGTTTTTTATTCTTGGATACGGTAACTTGAGTGCTCATGCGCCGTGTCATTGTAACTTCTGTATTGTTAGCCAGGCATGGCCAGAAGGTCAGTATAATAAAAATAATAAATGTACATATAAATGTATAATGTTATGAGATTTAAGCTACTTAATCTAAACATTTATGTTTTTGTGTTGTAATTTGTAGTCATTCTAAAATAAAAAAAGACATAATTTAAGTATATTTCCTAATTTATCATTGTGGTTACAAGCCCAATCAAATTGGCAGACCCCATAGAGTAAGGGTGAGAATATAACTGAAAAAATATAAAGTTTTACTGAAAATAAATGTTTGAAATGTATTTAGAAGGTTTTAGAGGTTACACAAATAATATTTGAGATTTTTGGGACAAAATATAGTTTTTTAGTTATAACATGAAAATGACTTCACACTTAGACTGGTAATGAAACAGACTCGATATTTTCACAAACAAATCTATAATATCGATTCTTCATTAAAAATCTGATTTTTTGTGTTCGAAAGACTTGTAATCTCTACTGAAAGTCTACCAAATTTTGTGAAGATACACTTGCTGCATTAAAAGTTATAGTATAAATACTTAACATGTGCAAATGTGTATATGAACTGTATATAAGCTGCAAAGGTGAAATGTTGGTTAAAATATAATAAAACTTTTATATGTATCTGAAGTGTAAAGGTCGTTTATTTCTAAACTTTTTTATCAAAATGTTTGTTTTATAATTATAGTTAGTTATAATAACAATGAATTTTAAAGGAATTGATTTAAATTGAAACATTCTTGTATTGTTACAAACTTGCAGGAACAATGAGTTTGTTTTTATCTATGAATATTACGGATTGAAAGTTGATAGTCTTCTTTAAGTTTAGTATATTTGGGGGATAAAATATTCAAGACAATTATTTCCCCCAAAAGGAGGCAGAAGGCTGCCTAGAGGGGTCATGTGTTTTAACAAATCACACCAGTATCCAGTAGTGTGTCATCTGTTAGTCAGTAGACACTTAAATGATGTCAGATAAGGGATGTTTAACGTTGCAATTTGTACTGTCATGATATACGTAAAATGTGCACATGCCTTGAATTATGAGAAGAATTATGCACTTTGTAGGCTATAATGCAGCATGACATATGAAATTCAAAAGCAAGAAATAAAATTATTTGTTAATCCTAATTTTTGTTTTATTGGTTCTTGAAACAGAACACTTTTGGGGGCCCTACAGATGTACATTTAGTATATCCTGTTGAATTGGCTGGATTTCTGAAATTGTGTGTACTTTGAGTACATGCACTAACTTTTAATTTTTTAAAAGACCCATTATTTAATCCTGATCATTCAATGTGTAAAACATTCTACACCAGTTGAAATTGCGAAAAGTCAAACTATAATAATCTGGATGTTTAAAAAACTTGCAAAAATTAATAATCATAAGTTAGAGAAAATTCAAACCATGATAATTTAGACTCGGATCTTACTTTTCAAAATTTATTTTTTTTATTCTTCTTAGGCACAAGACAGAGTAACAAAGCTGTATGATGCTTACTGTAAATACATTGTACCTTATGATACTCTCCCTGCTGAAGAAAAACAAAAACTTGAAGAACTGGTTGTTTCAGAACACAACAGATATGTGCAGAAAAGACGGGAGCATGAAGAAGCTGGAGAAGATGATCCTGAAGAAGAAAATATTGATTGTGTTGCAAAAGTAGGTGTGTTTTTTTTTTTTCATTTTATGAAATTTGTGACTTATTAATATTGTGACATTTTAGGAAAGAAAACTACAGTAAATTTCAGAATTACTTTGTTTTGGAGCTTAGTTGATGTGAGATTTTTTAAAAACTTTTTTTGGGCTTATTAGAGATTACAGTGGTATAGTAAATATTTAACATGACACCAAGTATATTTTATTTTTTAGCAACTTTACTCTGTCATTAGAATTAGAGAATAAGTTTTTCTATCAAAATGATACGCCAAGAGTTAGGAGGCTCAAATCTCAGGTTATTACTTATGTATTTTTCTTGGAACTAAAGGAGGCTGTTAAACTTATTTTTAATCAAAAATATGTGGTGTGGTCATTATAGTTTCTAATTAAAAGTTTGATTAAATATTAGTTTTTGTCAAAAGATGTATTTTGTTTTCTAGTTTTGAAATTTCATAACTATGCTTTTATTAGACATTTTCGTTTTGGATGAAAACTTTAAACACTTAAGTTGAAAAAAGATTATCACATTTTTATGAAGTTTTTATAGCCATTGTTGATAGGCAAGTATTTTATAAGCATGTGTAATATTATTATCAAATACTTTGTAGGTTTATTATGTTTAAACTTCTTTTTTAAGGGCCGCTCTATGTCTCTCAGTGGTTTCTACAGGATTGCACGGAATACTATGGCTATGTATTACAAGCATGAGCCTTCACCAGATGAAGTGGAGGTATGTTTACATCTAGGCTTGATAGGAAACTTATCAAAATAATTCCATACTATGCCCACTATCATATAAAACAGTGGCAATGTCAGGCTGGAAATTTAAACTTGAGTCTCTTTGTGTGCCCTCATTGTAGATCAACTATTAGTTAAATGATTCTTTACTGTGTAATTTTTGTATGGTGTAACTTTTATTTTGAATCTTACAAAAACATAGTGATAATACTTTTACAGTTTGATACATAAAAGAACTAATCATTTTGTTGGTTTCTTGTAATTGAAATTAAGGCTGTTTATACCTTGTAGATGTAAAATACATGTTGTAGCATAAGTTCAACATTTTTCAAGATACTTCAAAGACAAATAAAAAAAATAGATAAGTCACAAATAAAATAATCTCACAACTTGTGGATACTGTAAAGCAGGCATTTATTCTTCATAAGCAATTGGTCATAGTGAAAGGTATGTGCGTGAATGTTATTTTTGATGAGATTGAAGAAGTTTCTGACAAAAATGTTTATGGCACTCATTGTTGAATCAGAAGTTTCAAAACTACATTTGTGAATTACATAGCTGATTGTAAAGATCCTGCTAATGTCCTCCTCCTTATTAACCATTTCACAACAGGCTCAATATAAAATACATGAGTTCATATACACACATTTGCACACATTAAGTATTTATACTGTAACTTTTAATGCAGTAAGTGTATCTTCACAGAATTTAGTAGACTTTTAGTAAACATTAAAAGTCTTTTGTACACAAAAAATCAGATTTTTATAATGAAGTATTTTTACTAAATATTTGTTTGTAACTATATTGAGTCTATTTCAATACTAGTCTGAGTGTGAAGTGATTTTCATGTTATGATTAAAAAAAGCTACTTTTCGTCCCAAAAATCTCAAATATCATTTGTGTAATCTCTAAAACCTCTTAAATACGTTTCAAATGTTAATTTTCAGTAAAATTTTATATTTTGCGTATTATTTTCTCTTCCCTAACTTTATATGGGGTTGGTCAAGTTGACCAACCTCGTAACCACCATAAAAAATTAGGAAATAAATATAAATTATGCTTTTCTCATTCTAGAATGACTACAGATTACAACACAAAAACACAGATGTTCTGTCTAAATAGCTTAGATCTCATAACATTATACATTTATATATATTTATTATATTGATCTTTCAGCTGTGCCTGGCTAACATTACAGAAGTTGCAATGATGTGGTGCACGTGTACTTATGTTACCATATCCAAGATTATAAAACTAGCCTTTACAAAGAGACTTGTCTTGACTGTGTTTCAGTGGACTAGTATTTTGTAAAATACGGTCACATTTCAGTTATAATATATTAAGGATGTATATATGTTATTACTATTAACAAACAAGTTTTTAAACTTATTTTTCTTAAAATACAGAACATTAAATAAAGAAGTATAGCAAACAATTATCTCTTCTAGTCATGAACTTTCTACTCGTTTGCTGCTTGCCATAGGTTGCTAAGCCTTATCAAATTTTGCACGTGGAGGATGTGAAACTAAAAAAAATTTCAAATAACCAAAAATCATAAATTACTATATCGATAGCATAGAATATCACTATAATTTATCAAACTTAATAAGTAAGCTGTATTTGGGTCTAAAAAAATATGAAATTTCGAGCTCATTAATGTCTTACCTTAGAATCTAGCATGAAAAGAAAGAATAATTCAAAGAGGCTGAGAAAGCCACTAGGGAACATTCTGATCTTTTGACTGGTTATTCATACTTCATAGACAGAAGTAGGTGTATGTAACCAAGTGTTTTCAAAAAATGGAAAGAGGTTTGGGGGGGCACTGTGTTTGCTACAGTAAATGTAGTGATATCTCAGCAAATAAAAAAGATAGGAGATTTTTATTTTATATTCGGTAATTTGAGTTCCTAATTCATAAGAAACTATAGACTTTGTACTTGGACATCACAAACATCTAAACTGAACCAATGCTGCATTCAACATACCACGTGACACGCAAAAAATCGATATTTAGGTGTATTTTTTTTAATATTTACTTTTAAATTAAGAAATTAACTAATGTATAATACTTATAATTATAATAGTTTGAATTATAATCTACAATATGATACCGAATATTGACATAAATTCATAAAATAGTAGTTCAATGAAACTATGAATGTGAGTCAATGAGCTCAGTAACATGGCCTTTGACCCGTGACATCTGTTGATAGGGTTAAACCTTTTGCTACTGCCTCAGTGAACTACACCAACCACGTGGCCCCAAACTGTCCATGAGAGTTTTGAACTATGACTTTTAACATGTTTTGTGTATCTTTATGAAATTTTTCAAGCTTTTAGTAAACATTTACAAATATTTTGTTGACAAAAAATCAAAATTTTTAATGAAATATTTTTACTAAAAATTTGTCTATCAGTATATGGAGTTGGAGTGTTTACTGCTATGAGTACACAGTGATTTTCAAGTTAAGATTGAAAATACTTTTCATCTAAAAATATCAGATTTTATTTGCATAACCTCTAAAACTGTGTAAATAAATACCAAATATTCATGTATTTTCTCTACCCTATCTCTTTATACACATTTGGTCAGTTTGAGTGAACTCATAACCATCATAAAAAAGAATGGGAAATAAAATGAGTAGTACTGTTCTATCTTTTTTAGTATTGACTACAAAGTTCCAAATTACCTTTCCTAAGAGTTTTTACTTCTAACCTTTGCACATCTATTTCCTATGTTTATTTACTGTTTGCAGTTGAAGTACAAACCTGTTGAATATAAAGCAATGAATAACTGCTTTTACCATTAAACTGTTTATGTGACACTGCAATACTATACTGTCAATAGTAAACAAGCATGCACTGTGCAATAAGCTGAGGTTTATCGTACTCCTGGCTCTGAGAACACAGGATTTATTGACTTGTTTACAGTAGAGTGGTTGCAAGGATAATTGTCCAAGGTAATAAAAATGTGAGAATATATTTATGATGCTCTGTAGAAAGTATGGGTTGATCTAATAAACGTGTTAGTATTTGGATATTAATTAACCTCATAGGGTGGTTGGAATTTAAGAGTTATAGGTGTACAGTGTGTGTAAATAAATAAATATATATATATTATTTACACAGAAATGTTTAATTTTTAGCTATTTTGTTTAAAACATAGAATAATAAAGAAAAATTATATAGAAAAGCAATGGTTTCTAGTGTTTACAATGTTAAAAATTTGGTTTGCATTTGTGTGTCAGAGTTGTTAAACCTCACCATGAGCCTTGTTTATTCTTTCAAGTGGAGAGGGGAAGACAATTTTTCTAGATTTCAAAGATGTATTTTAGGAAATCAAAAAATTATGAAATTGCTATACTAGTAAACATAAAATCAGTTATTTATCTGGCTTTCCAACTAAGCTGTATGTGGGTTAACCTTCTTTCCATGGGCATATTTTTCTGTGCCTGTCACAAGGTTTTAGTGAGTTACATTCACAGTTTAATTAAACTACTTGCTTTTCATAGTATATTAATAAAAATAGTGCAAAAATGTAGCTAATAATCCATATATCAATAGTATAAGTTTTATATTCTGACTTTTATGGCCCCCCAGTGGCACAGCGGTATGTCTGCGGACTAACAACACTAGAATCCGGGTTTGGATACCCGTGGTGGGCAGAACACAGATAGCCCATTGTGTAGCTTTGTGCTTACTTACAAACAAACTGACTTTTATGAGGCAATATTTTAAAAAATCTAGAATTTCCCATAATGTGAGAATTGTGATATTTGGTCTTTAGGCATCCCCTAAAGTATAAGTATTTCAATAGTATAAGTTTAATATTTTGACTTTTATGAGGCAATATTTTTAAAAAATACTAGAATTTCCCATAATGTGAGAATTGTGATATTTGGTCTTTAGGCATCCCCTAAAGTATAAGTATTTCAATAGTATAAGTTTAATATTCTGACTTTTATGAGGCAATATTTTTAAAAAATCTAGAATTACCCATAATGTTAGAATTGTAATATTTGGTCTTTAGGCATCCCCTCTTCTCTAATTTATTTATCACCTCTCCAAGAAGTATAAAATGTAACATAAATTCCTTGTTATAATATCGTCATCACTCGGGTAAAGCATAATTTTCATAGCCTTCAATCTTATTTGGTTACAGAGCCATGAGATAGACAACCATACTCCTCTTGCCATGCCCACCTGTCACATCCTTTCTTTCAGAAATTGCCAATAGTTTTCTCTGACATTCAATACTATAGTATTTATAACCAATAGAAAGCCAGAGTTTTCATCTATCAAATGACCTGTTACATTACATTGTTTTCTCTAAAGAGAATGAGGGACCGTGCTAATTACACCAGTAGAGGGTGCCAGTAGTGATTCAGTCCTTGTCTATAGTCAGATATCCGGATGTTTATATTCTTCATGTTCTTTGTCTTGCCCATGTTATCATGCTTTCTGTTTGCTTAATAAATATAATAGCTCAAAAATGCCTCAAATGACTTGTTGTGTGCTTGGATGTTCTAAGAAAGGTAGTAATTTGTGGAATTCAAATCTGGAATTGTCTAGAAAGTGGCTTCATGCATTCAAATGAGACCAGTGGAAACTGAAGAAAGTTGTTGTTGTTTGTCATGACCACTTTGTGCTTGACATCTATGTATCTGAAACTAGCTATGGTTGGCCTATGTTAAATAAAGTTTTCAATAATTCTGCTTTTCATTTAGATATTTGTCTAAAATTATTTCCATTTTATAACCTTTTTTTTAGTTGTTTAAGTTTTAAAATTTTATTTTCAAAATACACCCCCCCAACCACGTCCCATTTAGCTAAGCTTAATCTACAAAATTATTTTTATAGGCCTATCACAAAGCTTATGTAATGCACGATACTTGATAGAGACTAACACTTCAATAATACTTACCCTATATGTTCAAATCTATAGTAGGCCTAGAGAGTGATTGTCAGTAAATGCTATAAAACTAATATATATATATATATATATATATTGTTTGAACCTTCACCCTAAAGAATAGTAAAACCAGGTGTCATTCCAAGTGTTTTCAGCTGGTCCAAGACAATCACACCATAGTCCATGAGAAGAGCTGAGCGAGCATTGAAAAGGATAAAATGCTTCAACCAGCAAGTAGTTGACACACCTGAGTGAACTATTCTAGTCCTATAAAATGTCAGTAAGAGTGCCAAATACACATTTAAATGTGAACAAAAGTTAATCATTATCATTATTTCATTCAATAGCTAAAATTACATCATATTATTGAGCAATTTTGAACAAGATTCTTACCAAGAATGCTTGTATCCATGTAACAAAACAATAGTCTGACACTGTATTACTGCTCATATTATTTTATTTACCTATTGATCAAAATTGGCTTTTCAGTCAGTAGTCTTAGCTCCACTGCATTTAAATTCCATCCTAATCATGCTGAGATTCCAATTTTCATGTTTCTCACTAATTTTAGTGGAATTGGTAAAATATATATCAGGAAAACAAATGAAATTCTTGTACTACTCAAACAAGCTTATTGACAAACCAAGTGCTGGATTGCAAAGCGTGCTGGCCCAGTGCTGGGACTGCATTAATACTGGTGTCACCATGCATTAACAGTTTTGAGCACAATCCCTCATTGTCAATTTCACTTTCAGTTCAAGCTTGATTCCCATGGGAAACACATAGACGAGCTTAGATGAAGTTTTATCAGCTCTTGTTGCATAGTTATAAAGCCATAAATTTTGTGATAATTATGGGACATTGTCTACTTTTTGCACGTTATTATTTTGTGTTCTTTGGTGCTTTATTCTAACTAAGTAAAAGATTTAGTACAATACTACCATTAAGCATCATCAACAATCAACAGCTAAATAAAGAAGACTCAGGTAAGTACTTTTTTCTTGTTTTTCATGTGTATTCTTTATTTATTATTATAAGAGTAACTAAAATGTTAAAATAGAAATCTCTTAGTTAGTTAAAGTTAGATTAGGTAAAATTTATAATTATATAATAAAAAAATGTTCCACGAGCATACATGTGGGCAGCTCAGAGTAGCTTGTGGGTAATGTACTTCGATAGCTTAATGTGCGCTGCACATTTGCCAAGTGATTTACAATTTATAATGATGCAAATAGTAATTAGTCAGGGTTCAGAAGGCAATAAAATAATAAAATTTAAGTATAAATAGATGAATTATGTTATGAGTGTAAAGTTATTTAAGGTAAACAAATTTGAAGTCATTCTAGAAAGAAAAAGAAGATAATTTAGATTTATATTGAGTTTTGTTGTTGGTTAGGAGGTCAGTCAAATTGACCAACCTTGTGTAATGTTAGGGTAGAGAAAATAACATATAAAGTCTAAAATTTTGCTGAAAAAAAACGTTTGGAATTTATTTAGGAGGTTTTAGAGATTAAGCAAATATATAATTTAAGATTTTTGAGATAAAGAAAAGTATTTTTAATCTTACATTTAACATGGAAATCACATAGCACTCGGACTAGTATATAGAAATATATATACTCACGGACAGATCTTTAGTAAAAATACTTCATTAAAGAATCTGATTTTTTGTGTACAAAAGACTTGTAATGTTTACTAAAAGTCTTCTAAATGTTGTGAAGATACACAGTGTATTAAAAGTTATAGTATGGAAATTATAACGAGTATAAATGGTTACGAGGTTGACTGACCTCGTAGCAAGAACTTTAAAACAAATCTTATTTTTGTTGAGCAATGACTTAGTCAACAGACTTCAACATTTCCAATAAAACTCCAGCTTTCTCCTTCAAATCAATTACAAATGACTGTCAGATTTATGTAGCTTGGAATGTGCTCTTTCTATTTGTTATAAACATGTATTTAAGAGAAGTAGGTGTGAGTAGACTAGAGGTTTCAAAAGCATTGAATAATGGAGGGCTACTCTGGTAGGTTTCATTAATATATTGATATTTCACCAAATCATTTATACTTTTGTTAATTTATAATTTTCTCAGTCTTTTTTTTTTATTTTATATGATTTGTAGTGTTTTGTAGTCTTCAGGTTTCCTTTTTCAATATCTATTTGTTTTTCCTGTTCGCTTTTTACCCTACATCAGAAATCATTGTGGCATATATAGGTCTATTGCAGTAATAAAAAATTCATAAAAAGAAATATATATACAAGCACACAAACACACATTCACAATTTTGTAAAGCATGGTGATCTAAGTTTGTGAATTATGTAGTTTTCTCACTTGTTTTCTTCATTTTGTTATTCCAGTTTTACAAAAACAAGCTATTTGTTATAATGTTGGAGTTTTATTTTAACAGAATGATTATTGGAAGCATGTCAAGGAGCGAGAAAGTCATATAGTGGTGCATGCTGGGAATATAGACAGCAGTGTGTATGGAAGTGGGTTTCCTTGTACACGAAACAGCCCTTTTGCCAAGTGAGTATTTTGTGTATTATATCATAGTCTCATTACTAAAAGTAGTATACATTTTAGAATCGATCTTGTGTACTTTAAGTTCCAAAACAGTACTACCTCCTCACACCCAAAGTTATCCCATTCATGTGTGGTTCCTTATAAATATCAACTTACTAAGTTTTGAGTTATTAGTTAATTTTGATGTTTCATTCACATTTTTTTTGGCAGTCAGAGTTGACTTATGAATTTGTATTTTACTGTGGTGGATCAGGAAGTTTCTGCAAAATGGGCAATGTCACTAGTCCCCAGTGCAGCAGATTGACTTGTAGGGGGTACATCTCCCCCCTTTTTTCTTTGTGGGATATTCATCATGCTCCATTTCTTGCAAAATGGTCTTTGGGAGTCATCCTGAGTCTTTGAAGTTCAGGGTCAATGTGGGGAGGCTACATTCCTCCTTGTCCTTCCTGGTCTCTCATTTGTCTCATCCTACTTGTGCTAGCCAATCTTCACCTGTCAGGGTTCTCCACGCCTCCTCTTCCTCTCCCCATCCTTTACCCTACTCCAGGCATTCCCTTCCTTATGCTTGTTGTTTTCATTCCTACAGGAGTCAGCATTATCGGTGATGGGATGTCTTTTCAAGGGCAGGTGGAGGGGCCAGGTTACAATGGTTTTCAACTGTATGGGAATTCTTCACTACAGATCCGTGGGTTTTATGGGCTCTGTCAGAAGGTCTTTGCCTTCAGTTCCGGTCCTCTCCACCCCTATCTTTTATCGTGGTTTCCTTTCATCCTCCTCCTTGGGATCATGACTCGTTCAGTCATCTAGCAGAGTGGGTTCGAGGCCTTCTCCACAAAAGTGCTATCAAATGGATGGTGCCGATTCTTCTAGGATTTTACTCCCATCTGTTTATTGTCCTCAAAAAGATGGAAACACCCTGGAATCCTATCTCTCCTTTTGGTGGGTTTTCCCCAGGTCTTTGGATAACTAAAATCGACATGACAGATGCTTCTTTTCATATTCCTGTTGCTCCGGAGTCACAGTCTCAGTCTATATTATTTCGCTCTTTTTTCCATTCCTTTTATCTTGTTTGTCCATCCTGTCCATTTTGGCTTCTTATGTGTTCTGTCGTGTTGTTCATTCTTTTGCTTATTCACTTATTGGGTCTTCGGACTCATCATTACATAAATTCATACAATAACATACTAATTGTCAGTTTCCATGAAAATGTGTAGAGGCATAAGCCAATTATAAGCTTAAATAAATTATGGCTGATGGTTGGAAAATAAAAAAACTAAGGTATAAATAGCCATTGAGGTTTAAATTGGGGACAGATCTTTTTGTAACTAGTCAATTCCAGATAAGAGCAGCACGATGTCTTTGTGGAAATCATAGTGTATTTATAGAAGAACATTTCAAAAGTGAAATTAAGAAATTCTTTTTTTTTTTACATAGCTTCAAAAATAATAATCTTTTTTACATAGAATTATTTCCCATGATTTTGACAAACTATCTGATTTTTATGAAACAAGTTCAATATTATAGCTGTTTTTTTAATAAATCATAAAGTGTAATACAGGTAGAATTTGATATATTTCTTAGAATTATTGTAATATTAGTAGAAATTTATGTTTATTTTTATCCCCAAAGAAATAAATTGTCTTATTTTTGTGAGTTTGCAATGCTTCATATGCTGCTTATGCTATGGTCTACTGGAAACATATAATAACTCCTGGTGTGACTCACTGAATCTTATTGCTTTGTTTCCAAAAGGGTTACTGAGGCAGTGGGTAGAGCTGGATGATTAGTGGTATTTGCTAATAGATTAACCAATGGTCTCATTAATTGAATACCTTTGATTAATCAATTAGTACATGCCCCCTACAATACAAGAAAAAAAACTATTTTCTAAAAATATTTTCTCACAGATTTTTTTAAAGATAATCTGCATATTTCCTACATGGTGAAAGAATTGGAAATGTTGAATAAATGTGATTATAATTTTGTTTGTTTTAAATATATGTAATCCTCCTTCTGTAAGTCAAATAAATTGATAATTAAACAGAAAATCGTCTATTTTGTTTCCAGTTCAAGCATTATTTCCATGGGAAACATATTAATGAGCTTAGCTGAATTTTTAATGGATCTTATTGCATAGTTAGAAAGCCAGAAAATTATGATAGTTATAGGACATTGTTTGCTTTTTACATGTTATTATTCTGTGTTTTAGTTGCATTATTTAATTAAATAAAAAATTAATGATGTAGTACCATTAGGATAAAAAAAGTAGGGTTAAGTTTCATTGACAGTTGACAGCAAAAAAAAAGACCCCCTGTAAGTACTTTATATTTTGTTTTTCATGTGTATTCTTTATTTATTATCATAAAAGTAACTAAAATGTAAATATCAGAAACTTTTTAGGTTATATAAAATTATATTAGATTAGGTAAAATATAGAAAAATTATAATAATTTTTCACAAAGTAAGCTTGCAAAGTACGTAATTCAATAGGATAACGCGAGTTACACATTCGCTGAGTGATTTACAACTTGTGTGGCAGGATTATTAGTTAGATAGGGTTCAAAGGGCAACAAAACAATAAAATTAAGTAGAAATAGATATATATTGTTACTAACCTTAAGCTATTAAGGATAAACAAATGTAGTTTCCTATTAAAATATGAAGTCATTCTAGAGAGAAAAAAAAAGGTAATTTATATTTATTTGATATTTTTTTGTGGTGGTCAAATTGACCAACCCTGTATAGAATTAGGGTAGAGAAAATAGCAGATGAAATATAATGTTTTGCTGAAAAAAAAATTTTTTTAATTTATTTAGGAGATTTTAGGGATTACGAAAATAGAAATTGACAATTTTTAGATGAAGAAAAGTATTTTTAATTTTCACATGAAAAATCACTTTTCACTTGGTGCAGTCAACCTTTTGACACCGTATGTTCATGAAGAAGTCTTTAATGAAAATACTTTGTTAGAAATTCTTATTTTTTTGTCTACAAAAGATTCTTACTGCTTACTGAAAACTTGCACAATTTCATGAAGTTATAGTATGGAAACTATAAAGGTCAGTTTGGAGTCGCAATCTTAGTCAATTTGACCAAGACCATAGCAAGAGAGTTAAACAAACAACCAATCATCAACAAAATACCTTTATTACACCTTATGCAATTTCCAGTCCTGTGACTTTGTTTCATACTGTATAAATATTCCTGTGTGTAGTTAAACTACTTGTACCTGATGATGACAAAACCTTTTCCAAACACTTTACAGTGTTAAACTTGTAATAGTTTCCTTTGTTACCCAGTCGGTACATCTGTAAACTGTATAAGGTTACCTCATATTAAGTTATATGATGTCTTCTTATCATAGATAATTTCTATAACTTTCAAACAGATACAATTTAACACATAAATACTTTCACAATTTACAGATGAAAGGAACATTTATAGAAATTATACAAAAACTCTTAAACCTATATATTTACTCCAGTGTTATGTGATAGTTTAAATCTTGTTCTATCCAGTCATGTTTAAATTTTTATAACCATTTTCAGAGCTGTGTTTCATGACTGAATGATCAAATCATTTAATATGGATCCGTAATAAAGTTTTAAGGAAGGCCTGTTCAAAGTAGGGAAATACTTGAAAATTGAGAAATGGATAATATATTCTCAAGAGGTGATAGGTTCTTAGGAAAAAGTTATTCTTTGCTGGAATGGGAAAAAATTCTAAAAAGGAATCAACTAGTGAGTTGTTTTGCTTGCAGGCAAAACTCGTTGCAGCTGTGCAGAAATGAAAATGCAAACTTTTTTTTTATCGTTGCTCATGAATTAAACTGAATTTTTCTTGGGCTCCTTACTAATTTCTAGATTATATTCATATATTCTAATATATTCATGCATGCTATTTATGTTGATACACATAAGAAAATAGTGCAAACATGTTTTTTAAATAACCTTATTGCAAAAATTCTCTGTTTTAAAAATTCTTGTTCTAGATATTTTTGTAGTGTATTTTATAATTTTTGCAAAATATTTTAATTTATTTAAAGTTTGGTTTTTAAATTATTAAATATTAATTTTTTATCAATATTTCAACTTGTTTGTATTTAGAAAACAGGAAAGAAAATTTCTTTATAAAAACTTTTCCCTTTGAGGTGGATTCCTGTACTTGGTGAGGGGGACC